AGCCACTGAGCCACAGGTTCTCTTCCCCTCTTTGCCAGCAGAGTCAAGGGAGTAATTATAGGGAGTTCAGACAGATTGGTCTGATTGTGAACACCTTGACATTTTCAACTGCCATACTGCAGTTTACTCTTTTTACAATATCTCTTGCCTTGCCGCCCCCAACTAGGGGCATAGAGCAGGCTCAAGTCGCAACTGCGAAGTATGGCAGTTGAAAATGTCAAGGTGTTCACAATCAGACCAATCTGTCTGAACTCCCTATAATTACTCCCTTGAATTAAATGAATTAGCAACACAATGAAAACTGCCCGTCCTCTTATAAGGGCACATGTAGTAGGGGGTGACCCTTCGGTTTGAGGTTGCAATGCAGGAAATGTGATGGCGGACACTCCTTCCTACTTCCCTTGCCTGCACTTTTCCCATTTCCGATCTCTCCCTACCTTGCTGGAGGGAGATTTTATCCGGGCTGATGTTGAAGGCTTTGGCTGCCTTTTCTTTGGCTTCCTCTTTGCTCCGACCGCTCACCCAGTATTTGCCATCCACATCCTGCAGAATTTGGGAAGGTAAATAACCGGTCAACAAAAGTTTTGTTCAATGTTAAAAAAATGTCAAAATGACCCGGGATTTTTCTAAGCTGCGCAGAGTCTAAAAAATTAATATCCATCACATTTCATTGTCCTTGGTCACCCTGAATATTCTTCTTCAAGGAAATTCAGTTTGGCCTAGTGCAGGGGTCGGCAATCTTAAACACTCAAAGAGCCACTTGGATCCGTTTCCCACAGAAAAGAAAACACTGGGAGACGCAAAAACATACGTGCATACATGCACATGCGCCGGAGGAGGGGGTTTGATTGAAGAGTTTAATTAAAAAGAAATAGAGGCTGCTGTGCATCAGTTTCTCTCCCTCTCTCCCTCCCTCTCTCTCTCTCTTCCTCCCCCCTTCCTCCTCCTCTACCAGTCCTCTTCCCCCACTCAGTGTGTGTGTGTGTGTGTGTGTGTGTGTGTGTGAGAGAGAGAGAGAGAGAGAGAGATGCTGCTTTCTGCTTCCTGATGAGACGCAGCAAAGGCAGGAGACCCACCCAATAAGCTTGTCAGCTTGTCGAAGAACAGCGTCAGGCCACTCTCTTTTTTACACACACACACACACACACACACACACAAGAGAGAGAGAAAGAAAGAGGGAGAGAGAGAGAGGGGAAGCGCAAGTGCCTCTCTCTGTCTCTGTCTCTGTCTCTGTCTCTGCAAATGGCAGAGGAGGACTGGGAGCCGCAGGAAAAGGCTCAAAGAGCCACATATGGCTCTGGAGCCGCAGCTTGCCAACCCATGGCCTAGTGGTTATGGCACCAGGCTACAAACTGGGAGACCATGAGTTCTAGCCCCATGTAGGCATGAAAGGTGGCTGGGTGGCTTTGGGTCAGTCTCTCTCTCTCTCTCTCTCTCTCTTTCTCAGCCCAATCCGCCTCACAGAGTTGTTGTTGCGGGGAAAATAGGAGGAAGAAGGAATATTAGATGTTCGCCTCCTTGAGTTATTTGTAAAAATAATAAAGGTGGGATACAAACCAATAAAAAGGTTTATATATACTTGTGTTAACTGTATGCAAAACCAGAAATTAATTTTACAAATATTGACTATTTTATGTTAATTCTTAATGCCTCCTCTAGAAGTCTAAGAGAAAAGAATGGAAAACAATTGTAGCACCATTCCCCCATTGTTTCCCTCTCTGAGTTCAGAGAACACACGGATGTCTGCACAGTCATAGTCCTCGACTTACGATTGCAATTGAGCCCAAAATTTCTCTTGCTAAGTGAGACCGGATGTTAAGTGAATTTTGCCTCATTTTGCATCCTTTCTTGCCACCGTTGTTAAGTGAATCACTGCAGTGGTTAAGTTAGTAACACGGTTGTTAAGTGAATCTGGCTTTCCCAGTGACTTTGCTTGTCAGAAGGTCACAAAAGGGGATCACATGATCCCAGGATGCTACAACTGTCATAACTACGAGTCAGTTGCCAAGCATCTGAATTTTGATCACATGAACATGGGGATGCCTCAATGGTCTGTGAAATGGTCGTTATTCGGTGATGTTGTAACTTTGAACGGTCACTAAATAAACTGCTGTAAGTTGAGGACTACCTGTATTTACACTTCAGTATCCCAAATATTTATTACGTTTCTTTTTCCCGGCAATCAGGGCTTTTCTACCTGTTTGTACCCCAAGTGGCCCAGGAAATCTTACCTCTCCTGCCGGCACAGAGGGGTCATCAATAGTCACAAAATATGCTGGAATACGATGGCCCCACCAGAGCTGCCGAGAAATACACCAATCCCTACGGAAAAAAAGGGAAAGAATTAGCAAAGCTACAGTCCAAAATTACTCAAAGTTTTAGCAATTTAACAAATGCAGATTAAAAGCGAAAAGGAAAAAAAAAATCCAGTAGCATGGAAAATAAACAATTCCTTTCTGGGAAGAGAAGCTAGGCAGGATGAAAAGGTGAAGAAGAAGCTGGAAAGACTGTAGCAACAACCAAATCACTACCATTCGGTTTCCAATTACATTTAACATTACAGGTAGTCCTTGACTTACAACTGTTCATTTACTGACTGTTCGAAGTTACAACGGCACTGAAAAAAGTGATTTGTGACTGTTTTTTTACACTTGTAACCATTGCAGCATCCCCAGGTCACATGATCAAAATTTGGATGCTTGCAACTGGTTCACACTTATGACAGTTGGTGTCATGGGATCATGGGATCACCTTTTGCGACCTTCTGACAAGCAAAGTCAACGGGAAAGGCTGATTCATTTAACAACCGTGTTACTAACTTAACAACTGCAGGATCCACTTCACAACTGTGGCAAGAAAGTTCGTAAAATGGGGCAAAAGTCACCTAACCACTGTCTTGCTTAGCAACATAAATTTTGGGCTCAGTTGTGGTTGTAGGTCAAGGACTTACCTGCATATAATTTGTACTAATTAGAACATGAGTCACAATTCACAGCGTTAACATGACATGCTAAAGTATAAACCGGTGCTTCTCAACCTCAGCATACTTTAAGATGTGCGGACTTCAACTCCCAGAATTCCCCACCAGAGGGCAAGACAAGAAACAATGGTTGGAAACTGACCAAAGAGAGAAGCAACCTGGAATTAAGGAGAAACTTCCTGACAGTGAGGACAGTTAACCAGTGGAACAGCTTACTCCCAGAAATTGTGGGTGCTCCATCACTAGAGATTTTTAAAAAGAGGCTAGACAGTCACTTGTCTGAGAAGGTATAGGCTCTCCTGCTTGAGCAGGGGGCTGGACTAGAAGGCCTCCAAGGTCCCTTCCAGATTATCTTCTCTTCTCTTCTCTTCTCTTTTCTCTTCTCTACTCTACTCTATTCTAATTCTACTCTACTCCTATTCTATTCTATTCTATTCTATTCTATTCTACTCTACTCTACTCTATACTCTACTCCTATTCTATTCTATTCTATTCTATTCTATTCTACTTTATTCTATTCTAACTCTACTACTTTACTCTACTCTACAGTTGATACCTGCCAGAAATTAGAAAGCTACACTTCCCACTCCATTTCCTATTTGCAGTGATTTTACCGTTCCCCCCCCTTCTCTCTTCTCTTTTTGTTTCCTCCTTAGTCTTTGTTCTCTCCAATACTTTAACATCCCTGTTCAAGGGCATCTTGGGAAGTGTCAAATGACAAAAGTGGTGTTGTGCTGTGCAATGCAAGGTAGCCTGTTCTGAACGTGCACAATCGTAATAGCATTTAGACTTATATACTGCCCCATGGCACTTTACCGCACTCTCTAGGTGTACAACATAGAAGCATTATGTGCATATTGCCCCCAATATGGGCACTCATGGGTACAATCTGGGTCCTCATTTTATCGCTTATTGAGCCCCATCAGGATCGAAGTCCAAACTGTCGGCGGAGTTTTTGCCTACATATCTTCACCACCAATGACATTGTGATAATGTACGCAAGAGGTGGAGTTTACATTGCAAAAGCATCCAAACCTGCAGATGTCTTTGTCTCTCCCATCATTTGCTACCACTAGTCACATTCACATATATTGCTAAAAAAACCACTTTTTTTAAAAAAAAATCACTGCTTTCTTCAAGAACAGCTTTTCACACAGCTCACTGAGCCGAAAAAACAGACCAATCACAAAACGGCTTAAGGGTGTGTGTAAACCGGTAGTGTCAGAGCGGTTAGGTGTTCTGCAAGTGCCTCACCTGATATTGTCCATCCAAGCGAACCAGGTTTTGAGGTGGAAGTCTGGCACAATGCGCAGGTCACCCCGGCGCACGGCCTCGGCTGCAGCCTGGGCCATCGTGTCGCAGCGCACGTACCACTGGGGCTTCAGCAGGGGTTCCACTACGTCCTTGGAGCGACTGAGAGGATCAGGAGAGAAAGCCGAAAAGAAAGTTACCTGAGACCCTGGAAAAACAACAGGGTTAGAACAAGTAGTCCTCATTTAGCGACTGACTTGTTAGTGACCATTCGCCATTACAGTGATGATGAAAAAGTAACTTTTGTGACCCAGTCCTTTGCCTTTGTGAGGTCGTAAGCACAGTGGCAGTTCCATTTAGTGACTGCTTCGCTTCACTGAGTTGCCAGTCCCAATTATGGTCACTAAGGGAGGACTATATGTACCCCTTTACAGAATGGTGAAGACTCTTCCATGGTGATTCCTCTCTGGCTCAATGGGACCTTTCCTCACATGGAAACCCCTTTTACCCATCCAATCTGCATTAGGAAAGCAAGATTTTTCACTACATACATACATATATTTATTTATTTATTTATTACTTCCTTCCTTACAAAATTCTTTCTTTCTTTCTTTCTTTCTTTCTTTCTTTTTCTTTCTTTCTTTCTTTTTCTTTCTTCTTTCCTTCCTTCCGTATTTCCCCAAAAATAAGCCCTAGCTTGATTTTTACGTGCGCCAATATAAGCCCTACCCCAAAACTAAGCCCTAGTTAAGACCCCGCCCACTCCATCCCACCATCTAGTTGTACAAGGTGGAGTGAGGCGCATGCATAAAAATCAAGCTAGGGCGGGGGTGGGGGGGTGGAGCTGCCCTACGCACCCTGCACCTGCTTACCTCGGCGCCCCCACACCCAGGCCTACCATGTCCCGACACCTGCCTCGCCTCGCAGTGGTGGCCTCAGCAGCCCCATCTAACAGGGGCCTGAGTGGCCGCTGGTCCACTTCTTCTGGTTGCTAGCAGCTACTCAGTGCCGCCACTCGCAGGATGCCACATGGCACATCACACCAGTGCCACCGCTTGCAGCAGGATGCCATGTGGCGCATCGTGCCGGTGCTTGGACTTGCCATGGCACTACGTGTCACGTGGTGTCCTGCCGTGAATGGTGGTACGGGTGCGATGCGCCACATGGCGTCCAGCTGCGAGCGGCCACAGAAGTTAGGCAGCGGCGCAACAGGTGTCAGGGCGTGGGAGGCCTGGCTGCGGTGATCCTGAGGTAAGCGGATAAGACATCCCTTGAAAATAAGGCCTAGTGCCTCTTTTGAAGGCAAAAAAAATATAAGCCTGGATCTTATTTTCGGGGAAACATGGTATCTATCTATTATCTACAAAACTGATTGGCCACCCACGTTACCACAGGGTAACTCTGGGCAGCTATTCATTTTTTCAGTTCTTCACTTCCCAATTACACACATCCTGTTCAACTCCTTCCCTTAATATGAGAAGACAATACTAGAAAGGGATCAAGTGAGTTAACCTTGACCCTGGAATACATGAAATGGAGGCCTTGCGGGCTAATGGTTTTCTTAGCTAAGACAGACGATTCAATGTGTTTTAATTAGACCCAATTTCACATGGTCCAATGGCGTCACCCAACAGTTTAAATAACATGAAGATGGAGGCAATAACCTAAGAGTCCTGTGGCACCTCATAATTATAACTGTCACGGGGCTAAACTGTATTCCAACAATGCTCCTTGCCAGAACTAACTCTGGAGGTTGGAACAGGATATTAAAAATGGCTTTTCCTAACTGCCACATTATAGAGCTAGTCCAAATTGGCCAAAGACAGTCAAACCATTAAGGGATCCTGAAGGATCAGAAGGATCTCCTTCTGTTTGTCACTCTCTCTTGGTCCAAAGCTGTGATGACCAACCTCCTTTCAGTTTTAAATTTGCCTGACATCTGACTACAGTGAGTCTGGATAATCTGCTGTTTCTAGGGACATCTGAAGTTACCAACCCTACTCAACTCAACTCAAGAATTTTGCCCCCCAAATTAAACTAGCAACCAGGATCTATTTATATGCAACTTGGGGTCCGGTGAGGATCTGAAACCTTCAACTGTTTCTACAGCCCAGAGGATACAAGGCTTCACGCCAAAGATTCCTAAAGTGGTGATCAAAAAAAGGCATCACTTTTCACATGAAGGCTGACCCTCCCCTAGCTGAGAACAGGAGAAGCAGTGGGTCTTACACCTTGTTTTCAGCCATGCTGCTGGGAAACTTTGGGAATCGTGGTTTGAGTAGCAATAGCAATTACACTTAAGACTTTTATACCACTTCACAGTGCTTTACAGCACTCTCTGGGTGGTTTACAGAGTCAGTATATTAGCCCGCAACAATCTGCCTTCTCATTTTACCAACTTCAGAAGGTTGGAAGGCTGAGTCTGCCTTGAGCCAGTCAGGATTGAACGCCAGGCTGTGGGCACAGTTTGCCTGCCATGCTCACTTTAACCAATGTGCCACCATGGTCCTTTACCTTTGAAGAAGGCTGCTTTAAATTGCAGCTACTACTCACCTGCACACCGGGACCACCATGGGGTTGTCCTTCACCTCCTTGAAAAGCTTCTTTTCCTTCAAAGCTTCCAGCACTGCTTGACGGGCTTCAAAACGCTTCATGCCCTGGAAGGAGGAGAAGGAGGAGGAGAAGATGAAAGTGAAGCAGTTGTAAAGCCGGAAAGCACAGAAAGGTCCCCTGAAACAAACAAGCTAACAGTGAACTGCAGCTTAATCAAGAAACCATCAAGAACACTTCGACCAGCACTGACAGAGCAAGCCACCAGTATATAAAAAGCTAGCAAGCCCTGCTCCCTAATACAGTGGTGGCGAACCTATGGCACGCGTGCCAGAGGCAGCACTCGGAGCCCTCTCTGTGGGTACGTGCGCCATCGCCCCAGCCCCGCCTCCCCCCGCAGCCCCCTCACCAGCAGCACCCCCCCGGAGGAGAATCGCCCCCGAGCGTGGCCCGCGTGGAGCAGCGCAGCCAAGCACATAGCAGCTGGGCAGCAGGGACAAGACTCCACCCTCATGACCCAGATGATGCTACGGGGCATGGGGGGAGGGCGTGGCCACCATGGCGCTGCAGGGCTACCTGGGCGATCTGCGGCGCGCCGTGGAGGCAGTGGGTGGCCCTGCGGGCAGGTGGGGCGGGGCAGAGCGGGGGTGGAGCAGGATCAGAGAGCACCACAGGCCCCGAAGGCCCCTATGCCCAATTCCTCAGTACCAATTAAAAGACAGCTCTTATATATTGGACCAGGGGTATCCAACCTTAGCAACTTTTAAGACCTGTGGACATCAACTCCCAGAATTCTTAAAGTTGAGAAGGTTGGACACCCCTGTACTAGACCTTCTATTCCAAGTAATGCTAAAACCGTCCCAGTTGATAAAGATAGAAGGAAGTCCAAAGGGATTCCTCGAGTTCCACCCACGTTCCCAAACGCATCCCAACAATACCAAGAAGGGTGGCGGAACGTTGATGAGATAGCCGTTCTCATTCATAATATTGAGGAACTCGAGTCCGTGACGCAGGCCAACCTCATAGTCGTTCTGATCATGAGCTGGTGTGATCTTTACAGCACCTAAAAATTAAGGGGAGAAGGGGAGAAGATCATTTCAAGTCATGCTGTGCCCTGATGTTTCCTTCTAGAATCTGGTTTGTGGTCTTGGGAGTTACTCCCCACCTACACTGTCGATTCAAAGAACACCTGGAGATCCAAAGCTGTAGGACAGGGGTCTTCAAACTTGGCCCTTTTATGACTTGTGGACTTCAGCTCCCAGAATTCCTCAGCCAGCCAGCCTGGCTGAGGAATTCTGGGAGTTGAAGTCCACAAGTCATAAAAGGGCCAAGTTTGAAGACCCCTGCTGTAGGAGATGACCGGACTGAGCCCGAGGGACGAATCCAGCCCTCCTTGAATTCCGTTGACTCTTATCTCCCGCTAATTGGCTTTGGTGGTTAGTAGTTCAGATCCTTTTAGGCAGGCAATAAACCTGTATTCATTTGAATAGCCGTAATTCCTGGTTTTATTGCGCCTGACAAAAGCTTTGTTGGATGTATTTTCTCTTTTCTAGAGGATATCTTTTCTAGGTACTTTAGGCTTCCCCAACCTGATCCACCCTTCGGATGTGCTGGAATTCAACCCCCCCCCCCAAAAAAAATTGTCCAACGCACCCATGAAGTCAGATTGGGGAATGCTGAGTTATGATTGCCTGTTTTGGTTCCTTCTGACTGTTCCTTCTGACTCATTAATCCTAACTAACATACACTTCTTTTATTCAGGGTTTCTCATTTTATTCCACCTCCATAATTTAAGTCACCTGTTATCTTCCACCCTCTTCGTAGACTCTCCATTCTAGTTCTTCACCAACAATTTTGTCCTTTCATGTAGGACTTGTTGCATTTACCTAGGGGTGGGCAACTTTGGCTCTTTTATGACTCGTGGACTTCAACTCCCAGAATTCCTGAGCCAGCATGGCTCAGCTTAGAAACCTCTCCCTTTCCCCTCAGCATGGCTGGCTCAGGAATTCTGGGAGTTGAAGTCCACGAGTCATAAAAGAGCCAAGGTTGCCTACCCCTGACCTAGCCCGTAGCCCAGAACATACCAGTTCCAAATTCCATATCTACAAAATCATCGCAGACAACAGGCAGGAGGCGTCCTGTGAAAGGATGCTGGACTTTCCGGCCATGCAGATGCTAGAAGAGAAAGCAGATCAAAGGAAGAGACTTAATGGAAGAATCCAAAATCACCCAGATAAGCAACAGTCTAATACAGTGGTTCTCAACCTTTTTAATGCCGCGACCCCAACCGGTCGTAAGTCGAGGACTAAACCGGTCGTAAGTCGAGGACTAAACCGGTCGTAAGTCGAGGACTTTCCCTGCCCGGGAGCGCCGTGCATGCGTGGTTCCGCCCCCTGCGCCGGCCGAGGCGTAGCTGGCAAGCGGCAGAGATGGAGCAGGCCGACCACCAGCTGGCCCAGCCCAAGGGAGGTAAGGCACCCGCCGGAAAAGGGGGAAAAAATGGCGGACAAAAAAAATGATGGACAAAAAAATGGCGGACAGCCTTGCTTGGCGACCCCCATGAAATGGTCGATCGACCCCAAATGGGGTCCCGACCCACAGGTTGAGAACCACTGGTCTAATAGTCCCAAGGCTGCTTTTTCAAAAGGCAACTGGACTTCCTTTGTTTTTCCTTGAAGACGTTTCGCTTCTCATCCAAGAAGCTTCTTCAGCTCAGAACTGAAGAACTGAAGAAGCTTCTTGGATGAGAAGTGAAACGTCTTCAAAGAAAAACAAAGGAAGTCCAGTTGCCTTTTGAAAAAGCACCTTTGGGACAACCATGACAAGGATGACTGAGAATCTCCACAGACAACAGTCCGCTAAGGTTATCAACTGCAGCTTCCGGATTATTGCATCCTATATCCCTTGGCTCAATCCTTGAAAGATCTTCCCTTTGCTGATGCTCCCACTTGTTGTGGCAACACCAAATTTCTACTCAGAGCTTTTAGTCTCAAGCTGTCCTGCATCTCTTGCATGATGACACTTCTCCATTATTCAAGATGGTCCTCCGTTCCCTTGGATAAAAAAGCTGTATCTGATTCTGGCACTGTTCTACTACAGCAGTTATGGCGAACCTTTTAGAGACCGAGTGTTCAAAAACTGGGCCCGCCCCTGCTCCACCCTTGCCCCGCCCCTGCTCTGCCCCTACCCCACCTGCCCACAGGGCCACTCACCGCCTCCAGGGCCCGCCGCAGATCGCCCAGCAGTGCCATGGCGGCCACGCCCTCTGCCCGCACCCCTGCAGCATCAACTGTGTGCGATGGGGTGTGAGAGCAGAGTCTTGTCTACGCTGCCTGGTTGCCATGTTCTTGGCTACGCTGCTCTGCGTGAGCCACGCTTGGGAGCGGCTCTCCTCCAGGGGGGCTGCTGGTGAGGGGGTCGCGGGGGGGAGGCAAGGCTGGGGCAACGGCACGTGTGTCCACAGAGAGGGCTCCGAGGGCCGCCTCTGGCATGCGTGACATAGGTTCGCCACCACTGTACTACAGTATGTACAAGTAATCCTCGACTTACAGCCTATTGACCATTCAATATTAGGATGTACCACCACCATCAAAATGCTGCTTACGACTGTCCTTCAAATGTCTATGGCAGGGGTAGGCAACCTTGGCTTTTTTTATGACTCGTGGACTTCAACTCCCAGAATTCCTGAGCCAGCATGGCTCAGCTTGGAAACCTCTCCCTTTCCCTCAGCATGGCTGGCTCAGGAATTCTGGGAGTTGAAGTCCACGAGTCATAAAAGAGCCAAGGTTCCCCACACCTGGTCTATGGAGAATCTCAATCATCCAGGTCATGGTTGTCCCAAAGGTGGTTTTGAAAAGGCAACTGGATTTTTTTTCCCCCTTGAAAACGTTTCGCTTCTCATCCAAGAAGCATCTTCAGTTCTTCAAAGGAAAAAAACGAGAAAGTCCAGCTGCCTTTCAAAAAGCACCTTTGGGACTGTCCTTCAAAGCATTTGAGAAGTCACCTGACCCAACCAAAACTATGGGTAGTCCTCAACTTATGACCACAATTGAGCCCAACATTTATGTTGTTAAGTGAGAAATTAATTGAGTCTTGCCCCATTTTATGCCTTCTTGCCACGGTTGTTAAGTGAATCACTGCCTGTTAAAGTAGTAATACGGTTGTTAAGTGAATCAGGCTTCCCCCATTGACTTCGCTTGTCAGAAAGTCGCAAAACCCCCAGGACTGTGTAACTGTCATAAACGTGGGTCAGCTGTCAAGCATCCGAATGTAAATCACGTAACCATAGAGATGCTGCAACGATCGTGTGAAAAACGATCATAAGTCACTTTTTTCAGTGCCGTTGTAACTTCGAACAATCACTAAATGAACTTTTGTAAGTCGAGGACTACCTGTACAGTGTTACACCTTTCATACCTGGTATCGGGGGTCCTTGGGATGGACTGCAACTGCTGTGTCTCCCAGCATCGTCTCAATACGGGTGGTAGCCACCACCACTTCCTCATCTATCAGAAAAAATGGACAAGGTTGACGGAT